GGTATTGGGTTGGCAACTAAGTAATTGCCGATTTGTTCAATGAAATAAAAAATTTGTTTTTATTTAGAACGAAGTTTAATCTGTAATGTATTTTCCATTTTGTTCGATGGCCTTTTGCCGTCTCTCCGACAACTTGAAAATTCCACGCTCGTAGAAAGTCTGATCCTTTTCGGCCAAAAACAGAGTTAAGTGAGATTTTACAGCGTCATCGTCGTTAAAAGTTTTACCACGAAGGGAGTTGTCCAGGGATCGAAATAAGTGGTAATCCGATGGCGCGAGATCAGGGCTATATGGTGGGTGTAACATCGATTCCCAACCAATATCCATCAATTTTTGCCGAGTGGACAAAGACGTGTGCGGCCTAGCATTGTCCTGCTGGAAAATGACAGCTTTACGATTGACCAATTCTGGTCGCTTTTCCTTGACCGCTGCATTCAATTTGTCCAGTTGCTAACATTCGCGGATAATAAAAAATAACATAATAATAATAATAATAATAATAATAATAATAATAATTTTATAACATAACATTTACGGATATCATAAAAATGGGAGTGAGAGACATCTATAACTGAAATCGGCAATTACTTAGTTGCCAACCCAATATTATATCGAGTATTTCGATTATCGATTAAATACAGACTATTCGTTTACTCTCTTCGATTAATATAATTGCAATTCATTTTACGGTTTTTAAATACTGCGAACACGACAATTTGCATGGACATCCGTTGCTCGCGTTATTCGACGCAAGCGCGAACAATAAGCGACGGGCGTGAATGATAATACAGCGATCGAAATTTTATTACCGGTGTGTACCCGATGAATATTTAAAATTAATTTTATCGCGAATACGCAACCTGAAATGTACTTTTTAATTCTCAACACGCTTGTCTTAGAATTAAATAATTATCGCCTTAGTTTAAGGTTCAAGATCATTGTCGTATTAACTCCAAAGACCGAATTCTCTACTTTTAGAATATGTATCCTTGCAATTTATGCGTGCTACGATGGCATAAAGATCCACGGTCCAGTTATGCCACAAAAAAGCGAACATGATTCTAATCTGCAGAAAATAGCAATGGAGAGACTATCATGGTCGAAGGCCACGAAGAACCGTGAAGCGATCGGCAACCCAGCCAAAGACCACAAGCAAAAAAAGAATAGCGATCGCGTTCAAGCTTATTGAAACGTAACGATCTATCCACCGGACAAATAAACCGGCGGTTGTTCGATCAGCCTGTTTGCCCAGAGATTATCCTTGCCAGCGAACCCGATTTCTTTCGCGAATCTCCTTCGCTTGCACTTCGTTCTCACCTCATGTAAAAATACACAGCCGCTGACGAAACGTGTTTACAGTCGGAGATTTACGATGTCGGGTCAGCGACCCCATTTTTCATGAAAACTCTCGCTTTCGGGTTTTTCGATGCTCCGAATGCGCGTTTTTGTGCAAAATCTTGTCGCCGTTTTCTACAGACTTTTTTCTGTCCGCGAGACCCGAGGCACTTGTTGCTTCAACGGTAATTGACCGTTCTTCTGAACAATGTTGGGTTGACCGAAAAAACAAAATTTAGAATTGGTAGATAGTGAAAGTTGATGATATCTCTGCGGACTTTTTATGCAACGTACAGAGAAATCGGACATCGAAGGATTTTGGTAATAGAATTGTTTTGAAACGGGACTGTCTCTACAATACGATTTGTAGAAATATCTGCGATATGTTTGAATAAAAATCTGAAGTTGATAGGCAGCGAAACAAAAGTGATATTTCCGCGGATTTTTCCTGCGATGTACGTGTGTAGTGAAATCGGCCATTGAAAGAATTAAAATATAAAAGAAAGATTTTTATTTGATTTGGCCAGTTCGTATGAAGTTTTCACGTTTCACTAAATTCAAACAAGCTTAACCCTCCAACCGCTATCCCAAAAGTCGATCAGGTTCACTTTTGACTCATATCAGAACCCCTGAGTGTAATCTAATACACCAAATGCTAGAGCTACATTACTGTCGCGACGTCATCCAGTAACATGGGTAAAAAATGACTCAGTTGGGTTGATTGACGATTAATATTAATATAGTATATATTACGACTATATATATAAATTCACAGAAAACGAACATTCATTCACAGATTACGATTATTCAAAGATTCCTAGACTTCGAATTCTGTACCAGTTGTAGAATTAGTGATCCTCATTTCATTTTCATTCTACCGAAAAAGAATTGGAAAAGAATCGATGAATTCGTTTGTAAAATTCAATTGATAGAATTCATTTTCATTGNTATATATATATATATATATCTGGTACAATGAAAATTAATTCTTTCAATTGAATTTTTCAAACGAATTCATCAATTCTTTTCCAATTCTTTTTCGGTACAATGAAAATGAAATGAGGATCACTAATTGTACAACTGGTACAGAATTCGAAGTCNCAGATAGAACCTTGTCTTTAAACGTTCTTAAACAATACTCTGTGCACTGGTATGGCAACTTCGCGGTGCCTCTAAAAATTATATCAACTGCCCACTAAGCAATTCTGATATATACAGTTAATTATTCCTCATTAATTATTCCTCATCTAAAAAAAAATTCAAATATATATATATATATATTTGAATTTTTTTTTAGATGAGGAATAATTAATGAGGAATAATTAACTGTATATATCAGAATTGCTTAGTGGGCAGTTGATATAATTTTTAGAGGCACCGCGAAGTTGCCATACCAGTGCACAGAGTATTGTTTAAGAACGTTTAAAGACAAGGTTCTATCTGCACACTTTTCTCCCATCCTTCAAGCGTACCAATAATTTCTCGTTCCCTTCTTTTCATCGAAAGATCCTTTCGCACCGAAAAGAAACGGCAAAACCTTCAGCCCAATTGTACCTTGGAGTTACAATAATCATGGTCGATAAGAAAATACTCGCGTGACTCTCGACGGAACAGAAAGAAGTCACTGACACGTAGCGCGTCGAGTCGCCGGGCACGAAGGCAAAAAGAACAGTGCGGGCAAGAAGCGGTTTTAATGAATAAAAATCGTGATACGAAACGCGCATCTTTTTCACGGCGGGGCGTAAGATGGCGGCTGATCCTAATCCCGTGGAACAGACCGCAAGAAATACCACCTGACCGATAATAAATTGCGGCTTCTGTGAATTCGTTGCTCTTGCCGCGTGTTATTTTAGAAAATAAACCGTTGTTTGTGCTGCTGGCTCGGCGTGTTTCGCGTTCGCGTTCGCGTTCGCGGACGTTCCGAGGATATCGTGGAAAACCAGAATGCTTGGACAACAGGCGATTCCGTACGGAAACCGGCCCGATGATCCCGCCGAGGCCCGGCGCTGTACCGGCCCCGAAGATTTACGCGTGTACGAGATTAATTCCCCGTCGGCGTGGAAAGACGCGTGCAAACACCGCTTCGGCGGATTCTCCGCGGATGCTTTTCGGTACAAATAAACGGCTGGTGGCTGTTGCGACGCTGGTCGAGCCGTGAAACGACAACGGTGCCGTAGTGGCTTCTAAACCGAGCGAGATTTATCGGGTAGTTTGCCAGTTCGGGCCAACCGGCCGGCTGTTTATAATTGGATTCGCCCGAGAACACTGCGTGAATATCGATTCATGCGCTGCGATCCTTCTTATACACACGCTCGCTGGCCTTGCACGTTCATTGTCCATATCGGCTATATTTTTCATGCTTTTTACAAGTTTATTGTCGAAGCACTTAAGTGACTTTTCACCTACGCGTGTCGCGAGAATCAAGCGACGGCGAGTATACTCGTCAAGTATACTCGTAAGTGTCGCTATTGAAATATTGGATCAAAAAAAGACGGTTTTATTTGATAAAATTAACAAGTTTACTACTAATATTTACTTGTTCATTTAACGTTAACATAAACTACAACGCAGGGACGAAAACGCAGGAGAAATCAAACACTTGTAAAAGTTAAAAGTTTAATATTATTATAATATTATATTAGCACTTTGCACGTCAAACACCAATATCGTGAATCTTTCCTAATCTTATTTTTATAACAATGTAACGCCTTCGTGTGGGATTGACCTCAAAATATTCTAAACGTCTTGAAATTTGAGAACATGTTCTTGTTTTCACTAAAATTACAATTTAAATAGCCGATGGTCACTATTTTTTAAGCTCGACGAATATACTCGTCATGAAACAAAAGACTGTCACTTCTCCATGACGAGTAGACTCGTCAAACACAGCTAACTGATTAATGTTGATCAATGCCGATCTATTGGCAACATTTGGATTGTACATTACATTACAGAAGTTACAGGCACATACCTTGACGATGAATATGGTAACAGTTCAAATTATACCGTCCGTTTTTTGTTCTTTTTTTCAATTACTTATTTTTTAAGAGCGACGCCAGCAGAGGATTAATATTGATCATGCAAAAATGTTTGAGAATGGTTACTCCAATTTTGTACGAAGAACAACTTGTTGTTAGATCCATTGAATAAATCAAACTGCGTTAGAATTTGTGGTCTACAGAAAAATATGTCTTCGATAAAACAAATATTATTGAAGTACAATGAGCTTTCTTTAAATAACATGTCCGAATCTTAAATCTTTCGGTTCCACACAGATTTGACAAGTCAAATGAACTCTTGCAGAAAAAAAGCGACATTATCATAGTATAGTCGTCGGATATTATTAGGTCAGGTTATATGTGACGCAACACTCCGCAAATCAATTATACATGCATTCATAGCGGAAAAGTTCTGTCAGTCGATTTTTCCAACTTTCGAACTCCAATAACGATAAATTAGCGATTGCATCACATTCCTAAAATAAATTACATTTCTTTAATAACGTTTCCTAAGAACATTAGGAAACGGACAAATCACGTGAAGAAATCACGACATAATTGACTTGATTGCTTGATAAATGAGCTAATTTCGTTGACAAGAAAGAACGGGGAACGCATAGCAATATGTACCCGCATTTGGAACGCATTAATCATCGCAACCAACGCAAAACGGGTAACTCCCTCCCAAAATGTCACCGTTCGATTCCACGCAGCAACCGATCAAAATCGTCGTAGACCAGGGGTGTCAAACTCGCGGCCCGAGATGAACATTTTTGATGTCAAGTATCAGGACGTAAACAATAATTTAACTTTATATATGTTTATTACAATGTGCTAGTCAAAATAAAAATATTTGTTTCTATGAACATTGATCTCTTTTTGCGGCCCAGTCAATATATCCGACGCAAAGTAAAAATAAAATAGAAATGTGAATTAGAAATTTTGAAAAAGTAGTCTCGGCCAATAAAATTTCTCCCGAAATAGGAAAGATAGTATCAGAGAAGAGATGTCAAGTATCAGGACGTAAACAATAATTTAACTTTATACATGTTTATTACAATGTGCTAGTCAAAATAAAAATATTTGTTTCTGTGAACATTGATCTTTTTTTGCGGCCCACCTAAAGTTAAGCATTCTTTATTTGGCCCAAGTTAGCTTTTGAGTTTGACACCCCTGTCGTAGACTCAAGTTGATAAACACGCCCCCCTCGCACCCTTCGCACCCCCTGTAAACCGCTCGTAAACGATCCCCGGCAATTAGCGGCCGTGTAAGAGCGTTTTATTCAATCAAGCGTTGTGTAGAGCACGAGGAACGTTGGCGCACAGCTGGCGAAGGTGTAGAGTTTCGTCTAATCGTCCGGTGGGCAGTGGGTGAGCGAGATAAGAGCGGGAACAAGAGCAAGAAGCAAGAGCACTAAAGCGCGGCGACGAGCGCGTGCCGTGCGTGTCTGGGCAATAGCGAGAGCGCACCGAAATGCCTTCGGTATGACGCGTGTGCACGGCATTCCGTGAGAGAGGAAGTGACTCTAATAAATCTCAATCAGAGGATTCAACGTCTGCAACGTCGGCGATGCTGAAGAATTCGATGACGAGGCAGCAGCAGGGGTCGGCGGGCGTCGCGGACGTTGCCGGGCCGAATTCGGTCCCCGGAAGCCCGTCGTCGCCGGCCGTCGACTGCACCCCGAAGCCGCGGAAGAAGCTGTCCTTCAAGGAGCCGGAGATCCTGAACTACCTCCGCTCGAAGAAACCGTTCGCGAAGCCGAAGCCGAAGCCGAGGCCGCCGCCGCTGCAGCTGGCGCGCACGACGACGCCCACCGTCGACTTCAGCTTCGATGAGAACCCCTTCGAGGAGGAGAACGATGACCTCGAGGAGCTCGAGGTAAAGCCTCCTCCCGTGTGCTATGTCGAGACACCGAGATCGTTTATGGGGTAAGGTGTCACCGACGATGTCCGAGCTGACGCGACGCCGTGCGATGCGCCGCACAGTGGTACACCTTTTCCTAGAAAGTTCCTCGTAATTCGTAACTTTATACGATTTTTATGAAAATCGCCGCTCCTATGTTCTTCGGGTATAATTCGATAAATACATTAAAGATGTTACTATAACTTATAATCGGTTACGATACATGATGCAGTAAATTCTTTTGAATGAACTTGTTTCGAATTCGTTTGAAAAAAAGAAATGTAAAATCGGTAGATATAATATATATAATATTTCTGCAGATTTTTATAATATAATATATTATATATAATATTTCGTAAAATCGGTAGATATTATATCTGTAAATATATTACATTATTATATTACATTATTATACAGATATTATATCTGCATTCAATCTGTAAAATCGGTAGATATAATATATATAATATTTCTGCAGATTTTTATAATATAATATCTGTCTCTTATACACATCTAGATGTGTATAAGAGACAGCTATTATATTATTATATATATATAAGATTGAATACAGATATAATATCTGTATTCAATCTGTAAAATCGGTAGATATTATATCTGTATTCAATCTGTAAAATCGGTAGATATTATATCTGTATTCAATCTGTAAAATCGGTAGATATTATATCTGTATTCAATCTGTAAAATCGGTAGATATTATATCTGTATTCAATCTGTAAAATCGGTAGATATTATATCTGTATTCAATCTGTAAAATCGGTAGATATTATATCTGTATTCAATCTGTAAAATCGGTAGATATTACATATATAATATTTCTGCAGACTTTTCGTGCAACGTACAGTGAAATCGAAAGAAAGAATTGGGGTAGTAGGATTCTTTTAAAATGGAACTACAGTAAATTCTCCCTAATTTACGCTCGGATTGTGCACAAGAATGGACAATTTGGGAAGAAGAGATGCAATTATTCGAGCCTTGCGGCTCGTTTTTGTAGTCGTTGACAATTGATAACTATTTTAAATTTCAAATAGCCTTTTGGTGCTATGACACGAAGATTGTAGAAATTTTGTATCTAATGATAAAATTAAGATCATTTAAGCTTTCTATTCAATGAAACAAATTAAGATTACTTAAACGCTCTATTCGATGATAAAAATCAATGATTATTATTATTTATTATTATTATATATTATATTAATGATTCTATATCGAAAACGAAGCATATATTATTATATTATATTATTATATAATAATATTATATATATATATATTATATATTATATTATTATTTATTATTATTATATATTATATTAATGATTCTATATCGAAAACGAAGCAGTTAGAAATCTAGAGTCAGTACTAATTTCGTCCCAAATTCCGCTACAGCGAGTCGATTCATGGGAAACGTAAACGTGGATCAGAATTCGCGGACTGTGCCCCCACAGCGCCGCCATAAATTACACCACCGTCTCCGTTTGATCCCGCACCGAGACAGTCGCCTCCTCCGCGTGCTGCTCTGTTTGGACACGGAACCAGTACCCGGCTTATCTTGTTCCACGCGTCGTTTTGTTTCGCTGCTCGTTGCTACACGACTTCCATCCGTAGAAACTAACAAGGGGAGCGGCGTTGTTGCAAACCGTCCTCTGTGTCAAAAAAAAAAAAAAAAAAAAAGTAACAGCTAGGAGTTTCAATATTTAGCGGCGACATTCGATACTGGTCGATTTTCGCGCAACTTCGCATCATTTTCCGTCGAGCCATTCTTGCCACGTTTCAGGGGCGAAACACCCTTCTTGGAGTACACTGACTTTTTTATTAGTCTGTTCGAGCATATGCCAGTCGAGACACGATTGTTGTTTGCTCCCTTCCCTTCTGTTTATTCGAGATCGTACGGCGCGCAAAATGTGAAGAAAATCCCGGTGTTTGTTAGTTATACATTGTTTATTACTGGCAAACCAATCTCATGACCAATCCGATCCGATTATCCCCAATCTAATCCAATCAAAATCCAATCATTGTCTGTATAGTGGGCTCCACTGGTAAACGCAAGTTGAACCTCTTGCATTATCGTGTCAGCAATCTAACCGAGTACGGATGGTATTTCACTTTTTTCAGATGGAAATAAAACAGAATTCTTCTGTTGTTCGTTTGGCAATTACGATTAATGTTAACAATAAACGTTGTAAACGATCAAGGACAGAGAAATCGTAGTACAAGGGGTTAAGCAGAAATTTAACTTGACGGTCTACTGGCTGCGTATTTTTAAAATTAGGTTCAGGCATCTGAAACACGTATGTTTGAGTATCTCCAATGAGCACGGTCTGTCTTGAAATTTGATGATCCCACGTGGCTACGGAATTTTGGCAGAAAAATGTAGAGACACAAATGAGCCGTTTATTTTGAAAGTGGCATAAGTCGCATAAGTGGCATTAAGTCGATATATTTAAGGGTTTGCGTTTTAACACGTTTCAAAATATGGATGCTAACTTTCGAGAAGATTCACTTGTATTTGTTATCTCAGGATACTGATATTTTCCTCAGTATAAATAATTTCGTATAAACATTAAAGTGACTTATGCCACTTTCAAAATAAACGGCTCAAATACTTCCTTGATTATCAATATCTGTCAAGACAAATACGAATTAAATGCAACTATCGAGTAACATTAAGTCTTGCATTGTAAATAGATTAACAGTCTTTTACACTATAAATGCGCAAAATATCCGCAGTCGACGTACAATATTTCTTTCCATCTTGTCTCATGTGTGTGTGTTATACAGGGTGTTTAAAAGAAAATTGGAAAACGAACAAAAAAGTAGAATAAAATTGGAGAATAGAAAATTTTACGTTATTACAAAATTTAAGTGAAGGTAATAAATTCATAACGTTCTTGTCATAACGATCGCGTTACAGTGGAACATAGCAAAAAAAAAACGCATTCTTACTTTGATCAGCGAACGAACAAAGATTATGCGCATTGTCGTGAGAATCGATTAACGCACAATTAACGCATAGATTAAAAATTTGGCATTTTAAGAGGTACGATTGAATATTGAGTCTCCTGCTTTGAGAGCACCCTGTATACAACTTCGAAACACTGGAGTCACTGGTACGTTCGATTGAAAAAAGTTGGCTTTCGTTAGAGTCAAGCGATGAGGGTGGTCAGGACGGTAGGACAAGCATTCGAGGTGTGCCATAAATTAAGTATAAACAACGCGGCGGAAGACCGGGACAGAGGGGACAAGGAGAGGGAGAGAGACCACGGGGAGAATCACCGTGACGTTTACGAGGACCAAGACGAAATACCGAATGAGCAGTCGCAGCCGTCGCCGTCTTCTGTGCACAAAGGTTTAATATCCCGACTTCCGTTTAACCATAAACTCTAACATTCTTCGGCTACGCGTCGTTACGAACAATCCTAAACGCTGTTCCTAACTGGCACGCTCCGACGAATTTCGCATGTTGCAATATTACAGAATATGTAAATTCTTCCCAATTTTCCTTCAACTTCTAAACCAAAATGGACACTTTTGGGAAGAGGAGATACGATTATTCGAGCCTCGCGGCTTATTTTTATAATTGCCGATTGTCAACAATTATAAACACGAGGTGCAAGGCTCGAATAATCTATCTCCTCTACCCAAATTATCTATTATTATTTAATTATTATTATTATTATATATATTATATTATATATATTATTTAATTATTATTATTATTATATATATTATTTAATTATTATTATTATTATATATATTATTTAATTATTATAATTATAATTATATTTATTATAATTATCTACCGGAAAGTTCAGTCCGATAGTGTCACTTCAAGTTTCAATCCATATGCACATGTTGATTCGAGACATATATGACTATCTCTCTTTATCATTGCATTTACACACATGTGCTCTCCTAAATAAACTGAAACAAAGATGTCTCATGTCATTATCAAGCGAGACGCGATCGTGAAAACATGGCTACCGATGATAATCCACATGCTGCTTTGGCGACTCGTCAGAAAATCGCAGGGCTAGGCTGGGAAATTCTGTCACATCCACCATACTCCCCAGACCTAGCACCCTCCGATTATCACTTGTTTCTCTCTTTGCAAAACTTTTTACAGGAAAAAAAATTCAAAACTGAAGCTGACGTCAACCAAGCACTAGTTGAGTTCTTCGCCTCTAAAAATAAATCATTTTTTAAAAATGGCATTTACAAGTTGCCATCGCGCTGGCAAGAAGTCATAAGTAACGATGGAAAGTATATTCAACAATAAATATTACTAAATGTATGAAAATTGTGTTATATTTCAATCAAAAAACGGACAGAACTTTCCGGTAGACCTAATATTTCTGTTTAGAAGTTGAAGGAAAATTAGGGAGAATTTACTACTGTATGCCGATCATTCACCGAATTCAATATTTCAGATATATCGCTGTTAGGTGATCCGGATGATTCTGTCCCGGAAAAGACAACCGTTCCCTGTCTTCTCAGGTCGCACGAGATCCCAGCGACCACCGCGTCTACCTCGCCGATTAGACAATCGCCACCGGTAAGAAGTTCCAATCTGCTCCGATCTCATTTCCAATAAATATTAGCCTGGAATCCTGCGGACTCGATAAGTACAGCTTTCGATGCACACGCATCTCTACTGTGATTTAGATCCGAGTAAAAGTAACTATAAAATGAGGATACAAACCGGTTTCTCGATTCTTCGAGAGCCTTAAGTAGATTTCAAACGCAGATAGCTCGTGGATATTTCAGTTTGTTAATGAGTGGGCCGCAGATTTTGTGCATTTATAATGGAAAACGAATAAGGGAACATATCGCATGAATTTAGGAATCTTGCGTTATTTCTCACTTGCGAATCCCTTGCGCTATGACAACGAGTCTATTAGGTGTGTGGCTCGTGACAAAAATTTCACACATAATCTGTTAAATATAAATGTTAGATGTTTTTGTTTAAATCGAAACAAAATCTTGTACTTTTATTATTAAAATCTAGGGACGAAAGTTAATCGAGACATATGGAAAACAAAATTGAGCTAGTTCCATTAGAATTATTAACTCTTTGCCATATTTTGACAAGTCGGACTGATGATAGAGATTTCTAGTAATAATTTGTTAAGCATGTGCGTGTTATTCCGTTCTTTTGAGTCGGAACAAAAT